TCTGGTTAAAAATAACAATATCATTAGTAATGATAGAGGGATACACATATTTGTTGATATCCAATTGCTATAAATAGAAGACCAGAAAGTGAAATTATAACAATTATAGAACCACATTTATTAAAACAAAATGGCCGCCAGTCGGTCATTTTAAATCCGATCTGAAAAACAAGATGACGTGCATCAGGGACATATGATGTCTAATGTACCAAATTTAAACAAAATCCATCCATAAACGACCAAGAATGCCAGAAATGATTTTTGGAGATTTTTTAGCACAAAAATTACCACCATTCAGCCATTTTGAATCGGATGGTCTAACCAATAAATCTGTATATCTATAACATGAATATGAATAAATAAAATTTTAACATAATCAGTCAATTTATGTCAGAGATATGGCACTAGAACCACATTTATTAAAAAAAATGGCCACCAGCCAGCTATTTTGAATCCAATCTGAAAAACAAGATGACGTGCATCAAGGTCCTATACTGTCCAATGTATGTACCAAGTTTGAACAAAATCCATCTGTAAACAGCCGAGAACCAAACAAAAAACTTATTGTAAAAATTATTGTCACAAAATGAACAAATCTGTCCAACCAACATGGCTACATATAAAATATTAAAGCAATCAGGCTGGCTGTTTTCAAAAAGAACTTGAAAATACACTTTTTACCAAAAATAAAATTATAGGCTTGAAAGATATCATAATAAAATACATATATATCTCAAGTATCAATTAAAGGATGGTGGTCGTCATGCCGCGCTCTGTTCGATATGGGACTCATAGCGACGTACACAAAGCGTGTAAAATACATTGTTTACGTGAAATTCAAACATGGGCTGCACAACGACCACTGCCCTTTAAGCAAGCAGGCTTTCCATTTTCATGAGGAAGTCATAATGCCGACAAACATTCAGTATAAACTTAGTCAACTAAGTCAACAGAGTGGAGCTAAAAATTATGATGTGTGTATTTTACACAGTTTGACTGTGAGTGACAATTACAAGACATTGACAGTTGGTGGCAAGATATATGTGAAAGAGATACCCTGGAAATTACCCACTGTGGAATTTGGCCTTCAAATAATTCTTAGTACATGAATTGTCAGGAAGTGATTTGGCTATCTACTAGTAGTTCATGGTCTAACTAAGGTTCTTAACCCTTTGGGTGCCAGAGATTTTTCCCGCCCCAAATCCAATGCAAATGTTTTCACATTATGTCAAATTGTTGCTAAATTTCATCATCATTTTTGACAAAACGGATAATTTTATATATTTCTTTTAGTTTTTTATCAAAAAAGTTGAAAATTTTTATCAACATTTCATGTAGAGCGGAGAAAACTGTACAAAATCATTTTCTAGATGGTACCAAAAGTTGAAAATAGCATAATTATGTAATTTTTCGCTGAAAAGACATTTTGAAGTTTATTTTTCTTGATTTTGTATTTAGTTGAATGTAAAATATAGGGTCAATTAAGAAATTTTCACTGGATTTTATTTTTACTGATTCATTCATTCAACAAAAATAGCAAAAAATAAAAGACGTATACAGTATTATGCTGAAAAAATAAACTAAAAACTTGTCATTAAGTACTGTAAAATGATTAATTTTCACTGGGTTTAAATTTCTTTGATTTAGAATTTAAGGTAAATTCATTGGGTTTAAAATTCATCGTTTTATCATTAAGATAATTTGCTAAATTTTACATATTCACTGGGTTTTAATTTAGTGCATTTTCCAGTCAGCGAAATAAGCAAAATAAAAACCCAGTGAATAATTAACCCTTTTATATGTTATTCTACTGTAAACAAAGCATGGCACTGTTGAGATATTGAACAGTTGCAGCATATTGTATGTTGACTTGGAGTACAAAGTACATGTACAAATTATGAATGTTATACTAGTAATGTAGTTTCTGAGTGCATGTGTAAGCTACTGATGACAGGCAGTTTCTAATACAATATTAAAGTGTTTCAATTCCCAAAAAACAAATTGTTATATTTTGGCTCCTAGATTTTTAACAACACAAACTTTTTAAAATCTCCTGGTTACACAAGGAACACAACAGAAAGCAGGTTTGTGTATACGGTAACCCTGTGTCTGTGTATAGACAAAGTTGGAGACATTCCTCGTTCATGTGTTACATATCATGACCTAATTTTTTAAGGAGGTATTCTTCACCAATTTTTGAACGAATTCATGTGAAAATAATTTAAATTTTCACAGCTTTAAATGAAAGCAAAATGAAAGCTGAAATAAGTCGATGTTCTGAGAATGTATTTTTATCATAGACATTAATTCTTAGAAAGGTAAAGTGAAAGTATTTTTACTTTGTATTTTTGGTATTTTCAAAATGTATCACTTGCTGCGTTTGTTTTGTCATGTCTCGCAACTGAAAGTGCAATCTGACTTTGTTTTGGCTGTAATTCCATTCATTTGTTATACGTCATGTGGTGTGGAGAGTTCTTACAGTACTGGTACACTATTTTAGCATTCAAATACCAAATAAATTCTATAGTATTCCTGCAATGCATTCATATATTTAATTTCTGTAAACATTTCATTGGATGCAAAAAAGAGATTCTTTGTTCAATTTACTAGCTGACCACTCCCCTCCCCTTTCCCATTTGCAGTGAAACATCATTGTTTTGGAAGGTTTAGACTAGAATATCATTTTCATTAGATTTATACTCAATGCTTTGTAAATCACAGCATACTTATATTACATTACATAAATGTGTTTCCTGAGATACTGTCACCAAACTTATTTGCATGACTACAAACTTGTTAAGTTTTTAAAACAAATTTACAAAGTTTGAGATTGAGTAAATTGAGAGTGAAAATCGATTTCAACCGTAGGCCTGTTTTCTAAAATCTATGTTTTAAATAAATATCATACGAGGAGGATTGAAGTTTATTTATACAGTATGTTGGACTTTCAACAATCTTGTATGTATGAAATCGAAAAGGATTTCACCACTCTATTTTTGAAATGTATTTTTAAAATTCGGTTCGAATTTGAATGATAAATATAGAGGGGTATGAATGTCTACAGAAATGTAATAGCTCTTGTTTGACCAACAGCGATCCGGGGGCGTAACCCACGTCGTCTGCAACATATAGCTACAATTGATGATTAAGTTCCAGCTTTGTCATTGCGTAACTAAACTTAAAAAAAAAACTCTAATTTTTTTTAGTGTTGGCGGTGACTATGACGGCGACTGACTAGATTCCTTTTTATTACAACTTTTTTGTTATCCCGGAAACCATGTTAGCGCGTTCATGCGGAAACGTACCGAACGCCTGTGGTCAAAACAATGGCAATGAAATTGTAATAACTGGATCTACACATACCTTGCACCGTGCTAGTGGGGGATGCCATGGTTTTGATAATCGTATCAGCGTATTACAATGGTGAACCCCGGCATATCCCGCCAGTCACGGTCTTTGCTGCAGTCTGAACTTCGAGTCGGAAATGTGTGGTATTCGCGTTGTCGCCTACTATTTTCTTATATTATACCAGGAAATAGTCACGTGAAACGAAGTTTCCAAATAGATATTTTTATCTTCGATATATCACTCCCACATAACTGTATTCAATTTTGTGTTACAGTTAAACAATTTAAAAAAGTTAAAAATAAAATTTTAGGACAACCGTTTCACCATGCAAGCACTCAGTGCTGTCACAAAGTTTGTAAGGTGATGTACTTCCCTTACATGTCATTTCAGCAGTAAAACTTGGAAGGTTAAAGGTTAAAGTTCAAAATGGATCACATGACTTCAATTCACTTCATTCAAGTATGTACCGTATGTCAGCAGATTTGACGGCGTGTAATACTAGTACATGTATATTGTGCCGTGTACATCGTAGCTACTAATTTCACGTGTGGTGTGTGTAGCATGCAGAACGACAAATGTGTTTAATAGTGTGTACAACTATTGGCTGGTATCTCTAAAGAAATGGTAATACATGTCTGCATGATCATGTATGTCATCATACCTCAGTATTATGGTGCGGAAAGTGAAAGTAATTCATCCCGCCTTAAAGGGGAACCGCTCAATCCCATGGATTGCACCAAAGAATCATGGGACACTATTGTTTATGTTGTTTACAATGTTAATCTATCTTTTGTTATCCATTGTTATTTTAATCCAGAAAGTAAATTTGTTGTGAAATTAAGCTTAACTGGAAGGTGCCCCTTTAAATAATGGATATATTCACAGATAAATAATACTTGTCAGAAATATATTAGTCAACATTGAAAATTGTTTTTGATGTATTCGCATTTTACCAAAACTTGGGAATTGTAACAATGTCGTACATTGTAGTAGTAATATAATCCACATACCACTGTCAGGGTAAGTTTTAAATCAGGATTAGTCTCACTTTGATTTCGGAAAACAAATTGACCAGAAACTTGCGTTTCTGAGTTTTATCTGTGTTTGCAAGGAGTGATCAAGGTTACAATTACTTGAAAAATGATAAAATTGAATTATTTTAAATGCAGTGTAAATGCAATCACTTATACCTTTAATTTGACTAACATGTAATTATATCATGTTACAGTGAAAGATTTGTGGTAAGATGTCACAGAAAGAAAACAGTAGAAAAAAATACACCCAACAATCTCTTGGTAAGAAGAGGGGCAGTTCCGAGGAAAGTTCACTGCAACGGGATGCTGCTAGTAACAGTGCAAGGAATAAGACACCAACAATAATGGATTTTATAAATAAACAAAAAGTGGCAAAAACTGCTGAATGTCCCGTGTGCAATAAAAATGTGCCATTGTCCAAGATGAATCAACATCTTGATGATGGTTGCCTAGCAATGGAAAGCAGTTGCTTAGTAACAGCAGTTGATGATCAAACTCCTACTACCAATACTGATAGTGCTGCATCGTGTTCTTATGAATATGACAGGGAAATTGATGATAATGATGAAATCAAGAAAACCCAGTTTGTTAATCTGATGGAGATTGAATTATCACCTCAAAAATTACCAGCAAAGACTAAAAGTACTGGAGTAGTGAGTCCATACTTTAAAAATAAATCTGAAACTGAGATTCGAGGGAAAAGATTCCCATTAAAAAGAAAAACATGTTCACCTATTTTCAATCCAACAAATCCTCGGATTACTGAAAATGAAATTGTAGATGATTCAAAAAACGATAGAAAAAATCTATCACTCTTGCCTGGTGAGGCTTCTCTAGAAATGTCTGTGCAATCAGAGACAAGTAAAGGGTCTGAAGATGATATTCAAATTACTGATGAGATCAACACCTCTGATCCTACCAAATCTAGAAAAACATTTCAACATAAAGTCAAGCTAAAAAATAGACCACCACTTTCAGTAGGTGGCTCACTTGCACAGAATATTATGGCAACAGAGGCAAGCCAGGAATTGGGGTTTGAGGAAAAAATGGACTTCCAGGAATACTCAATTGAAAAAAAACAAAATGATGAATCTAATAACTCTTGTCCATCATCTTCTACCTCACTGTCATGTGAATCTTCATCTGTATCTATGACAACAACTTTTCTGGCTGATGAGGAGGAGGATGAAAACGACAGTAACTTTGGGGAAGTTCCACATCAGCCATACTATCTTGTGAATTTTTCTCTTATGATGAACACAGTTCTAAATTGCGAAGAGGATCGTTGTTTATTCAACGAAGAAGATATGTTATCCATTGACAAATTTAAAAGTTTGACAAGTAAGTATAAAAGGAGATGGTCAACGCACAGCACATGTTCGAATTTCATGTAAACAAACAATGTATTTTACAAGGTACATATGTTGTATACGTTGCTATGAGTCCCATATTGAACATGACACTATGACAACCCCCATCCTTTTATTGTTATTAAACATATTTGGAGAAAAGCTTGGATACTGGTATTTGCTGTTTCGGGGAGCTATAGAAACAGTACGAACTTCATCCTTTTTGCCTTGTAAGGCAAATTAGTGATTCTAATTTTGGGGATGACAAAATACTAGTATACTTTAATGACTCAGAAATCAATTTTCCACACCCTTGCTTGAAAGATTTTCAAATTGGTCATTTAATTTGCCATTTAATTCAAAATGAATTATTACTTTTGATGTATGGCATCATCTAGTGTCTGATTTGATGTATTTTTTTTTTATTTATTTATTTTTTTTGGAAATTATTAATAATTATGAAATTCCTAGTTAAGAAAATATGTTGTGAATTTGACTGTATATACAATTTGTACTTGAAACTTCATTCATTAAAAGTGTGTAATTATTTTGAGTAACTTTGTTGTATTTTCTCTTAGTCGCTGCTCAAATGTTATATGTAAGACTGTTTCAAAGAAAACCAACATGGCTTAGAGTGAGCAAACTGGATTATCCGAAAATTGCTGAAGATTTAAAACCAGTGGTCCATGAATTAATAAAGCAAGGATTTTTACAATCAGGTATGATGTCATAGTATCTTTCATTTTCAGTGCAATATTTTGCACATTTTTATGTGTTTTCTGTCATTTATTTGTTAGATTTTGACTGAGTTTATATAAATTCCCATTGGCTACAGGTATTGATAAAAATTTTCAAAAATATTAGAAAAAAAATAAGTTTATTGTGTGAAAGTTGACAAAATTTGACCCCAATTATAGACTTAATACTATCATCAAAACAAACCTATTTCTTTCATTTTTATAAACCTTTAGAAATTTCCCAATTCAAACTGAAACAGAAGATTTCTATCTATCTATTCACCAAGAACCAGTGAATATATACAAAAAAAATGTTGTTCCAGTGAAAATAAAGTATTTTACAGTCAGAAACGAGTCTTATTCTATAAGAATATATATAACAATATGCTAATAATATGCAAATCATATGCAAATAAATCTACTCCCATGTTTACTTGTTTTAGAGACTGGTTTATGCGATGTGGATGAAGTATTGAAGTTACTTCCTGCTCCTGATTTGAAGAATTTAGCCAAGTCTTTGAAAGTACCCACAGCTGGAATGCAGAGAAAACGAACTATTGAGGCGTTATTGAAACACGGCCGGCAACAACGAACCATCTTCGGTGGAATAACATCGTTAATTTTGAAAAGGTACAGCAATCAAATTCATGATAGCTCAAAGAACTAAGTGCGTATTCAAATACGCTTTCTGGATTTCAAGTTCAAACCCAGCTATGGTCTTTTCTGCTTATCAAAGATAAACATTTATTTCGTCAAAATCAAAACTTGGCTCTCACATAAAAACCTTAGACTTTATCGTATAAACACACTGGAAAGCATTCTGATTGGCTGAGAAGTTCTAAGGAGGTTTTAATTATAAATAGCGCCACACATTGTGTCGTCACAGTAAACGCTGTCCCAGCACAGACCTGTGACATGTGACGCCTTACTAGCAACAATTATGTATCAATTAACCTCTGACCCCAGCAGCTTTGACAAATTGAGAACATTATTGCCATTTTATAAATCAGCATTTTTAGATAAAATCAAATCATATTTTATCTTCAAATATATTTGTTGTGTTAATTTTTTTTTTTCTAATTTGTGTTTGCAGAGCAAAGAAAGCACTGGGATCTTGTATTAGGTTGATCCGAGATGTCAAAGCAGTATTCACACGCCTTGTATTGTTGTTTTCTTTGTCTAATATATCAGATGAAGAAGACTATTATGCCAGTGGTGGACAGTCACTCCTGTAAGATATTTTGCAATGGGTTTGAAATCACAACTGCCATTCAACCACTAATTAATGTCTCCATGACGATATTTATTTATTTATTATATGATTATTCACATATTGGCCCACCAATATATCATATTCATTTGAAACTGTTGTTCTTTGAAAATCATATAACTTTGTGAAACTTCTGGAAAGTAATGACAGCAACATTAACAAACCGCTGCAAAGCGCATTTATTATACAAATTTCGAGTGAGAAAAAATATGATTTTTTCCTAGCACTAGAATTCTTTGAACACAGAGTCTCCCGGCTTATGGCATTAACGCTCAAAATTCACTTTTTCTTCTCAGATCTATGTTGTTCTTGGCTAATACTGGTAAAGTGGTTTACCCAGAATACACTGTAAACCGACCTACTATACTGTTCAGAAGCAGAGAAGAGTTTCTAAAGTAAGTCATATTTCAAATATTTTTTTTTCTGTAATCAATTTCTTTGAAATATCATGCCTTCTGATATCACTCGTTTCCATAGTAGCTGATGATTTTATACAATCGGTGGTGAGGTTGATGAGAATACAGATGAGCAAATAATCAACATAGCACATCAAGATTTCGTTTGAAATAATATACCGGTAATCAGGTAATTATTTTGATTACAACAAAAACCGTGTTTACAGCAATGGATTTAGAAGGGGGGTGCATAATAAGTGTGCCCTCTAGCTAGACTGATTTTGTAGAGAATCCCCCAAGATTGAGTTAACTCAGCTTGTTGACTGAGAGGTTTTAACAAACAAAAAATTGTATGCGACTGCATAGGTGCCCCTGACTTCTTTTGTTTTTACACTGATTTTGTAGAGAATCCCCCAAGATTGAGTTAACTCAGCTTGTTGACTGAGAGGTTTTAACAAACAAAAAATTGTATGCGACTGCATAGGTGACCCCTGACTTCTTTTGTTTTTACACTGATTTTGTTTATAAAATGTGACTCTTGTTTTTCCATATCATAATTATGTGAAGATGTTTTTAAGATCACTATATCAATGACGTGTTAGTGATTTAGTTGCGTCATAGCAAATCTCTGTGCCCCAATGGAGTGTCATATCAACTTAGAGGGCACACACACCTGATAATGCAGTTTGGAAATGCCCCTCCCCCTCCCTCTTCAACTGGAAACTGTGCATCTAGCCCTACTCAGCCAATTTAACATTGAACTACAGATTGAAGAGGTTAAGGAAGTTAGTGATTAAAGATTTTAAGAAATTAACACTCAATGAAAATTAGTAATTCATTTTTATTTTCAGATTCCAGACAGCATTGCAGCATGAGAGTGATATTAACTCAGCACTCGGTAACAATGAATTTGACAATGCCCTACAACTGTATTTGGAAGCATGTAAAGATTTTGAGAAACTTAAAGAAAATAATGATGTTTTGAGGTAATGTTTGTGATTCCAGTCACACTGCAATTGTTAAATTAATAAATGCATAAATTAATAAATGCATAAATTAATAAATAATAAATTGTTAAGAGGACTCGGAAGTTCGCATGGGCCACCATTTTTTGGGAAAATTTACATCAATGACCTCAAAAATTTCAGCTGTCAATTTGGTCGTAGAGGGCATACTTTCACTTGAAATTAAAATGCCAATAAAAAGGGTTGATGTGATTTTTCAAATGCTCCAGAAATACAAATTTGTTGAAATGGCAAAATTTCAACAAAATTATTTTTTGTGCAAAAAAAGGAAATTTTTTTTTCTTACCGAATGTTTGGCCAAAAATTCATTATATTTTTCAGAAAAAAATTTCACCAGCATGTAACAATGACAATTAAAGGGCGGCAGTCGTCGTGCCGCGTCCTGTTCGATATGGGACTCATAGCAATGTATACAACGCGTGTAAAATACATTGTTTATTTACATGAAATTCGAACACACGCTGCGCGGCGACCACCGCGCTTTAAATAAATATTATTGCCACATATAAATGACATAGCAAATTACTTTTTCCGAAGTGCAAATGTTTTTTTTCAAAATTAGTCTCTACACTTCATTGTGCTTCATTATTTCATATAATTTATTTTATAAGATTTGATAAGAGTCTTCCAGAGTTCTTGAGATGCTACACCCCCTCATGGATTTACACTCGCATTCTTGCCTTGGGAGTAGAAATTTTGCAAAAGTTACGACGATACCGTGATGCTGTTGAAAAGCTACAAGAGCTTCTTGCCCAAGAGACATATTGTTGCCATGCCAGAGGACGCTGGTGGGACAGACTGGCTCTGAATTTAGATCAACATCTTAAAAAGCATTCTCAGGTAAAACAAATGATTTAAGGTAGAGATGCAGGTTCATGGGCACTTGAGAGTGACATTTTTTTTTTTGCTTTTTATTATCCAAACAGTCTTGGCTATAGACTGTTAAAATTTTGTAGAATTGTGAATAGTGGAACATACTCAAAGGACGATTTTAAAATATAGATAACAGGTGTAAAACTCTTTTGAATGTTTAGCAAGATTTAGCAAGGCTGTACATAAATAATAAAAAAGATAAATGGTAAAAAAAAGAAATGACGGGATCTCCATAATATGCACTATATTTAACTTTTTACAAAACGATAATACATATAAATTTGGAACTGTTACAGCCATTTTAAATATGAGCATTAGCAAACTTCTTACTGAGTGAATTGTTATGCAAATTAGCAATTATCTCAGCTTTTTTTAGTGCACATCCCAGAACTTTAAAATAAAATAGCTCCTAGACGCTTTGACCTTTTGTTTGGAAATTTTCACGAATGATTGACAATGTGTTTATCTTCAAAACGCCGTCGGGGCATTGTTTTTGGTTGAACAATTGTACAGACAACTAGCCTGGGTGTTAATTTATGCATAAACTTGAAGTAGTGAAATTTGAGCTGCTGCCCTGCAAAATTGACAGTTTTCAAGACGGCACTTTCTTCATAGTAAACAGATGTACCCGTAAACCAATTTTAACAGGAAACATAAGCATGGTTTAGAAGCTATTTTGTTTTTAAATCACTTTTGACCAAAAAAGCACATTTTTGTGCATATTTCAAACTACAGTGTCCATAAATAAAAAATACCAATAAAATTTTAAAATTCATACAATAAGCTTTCCGAAAATATATAGTTTTGTGGGCAAGGGAAGTCATCTTGGTTTCCTAGTTAACTAATTAAAATACGTGTCAGGTAAACTGCATCTCTACCTTAATCTTATCAGTGTACACTACTTAATTGTGTACAAGAGTGGGAAATCAAGGGCGGATAAATTGGGGTCTTGCCTGTTATATCATGATGTAATACAGAGGCTAAATAGCATTTGTTAAGATTATGTGACCTTACTCAAAATTAGAACTAACATAATCATAGAACATTATTCATTACATGAAATAAATCAGATGAGGACAACATGCACTGATGATAACGCCATTTTCAATGCCATTTGCATTACTCTGATGTGGCTATTCAAAATCTATTGCCCTCTAAAGATCTACATTGATCTCTTGATGTATTCTGCTCATATCTTCAGTCATTGGACGTAATAAAGCTTGCACTCGCAGACAGTCATGTGAGAACTGGTCATCGCTTGGCATTAGAGCAGAGAATATATAAAATATGTGAATCACCGAGTCATACCAAGTTGAAGAAACGATTGCAAGAGTTTGATATTAAGAAGTTGCAAGAAACTCCAAAGGTTCATTTATTTTGTTAATTTCTTAACCTTCATCACGTTCCACACACATTTTTCGTAAATTTGATCATGTAACATTACAGTGAATGGCGGAAACCTTTTAAAAATTATATTTATTCTCCTTTCAAACTACAAATTCATCGGTCTCAGAACCTAAGTGCTAAGTACTTTACGTGGGACATTTGCAGATACAGTTGTTATTCTATCCAAGATGGCCAACTAGCAGCCATTTTGTTGTCCGAAAATGTGGTATCTTGGATTTGATAAATTCAATGAATTCAAGATTTGTCCTGAGATGCATATTCGCTTGTATACCAGACCATGACTATTGGTGTCAATAAACTTTAACTGACGCTCCAAGTTGTGTATTTTCAAACATACAATGTATGTTAGTCACTTGGTACACGTTCATTGTGTGACTTGTGCCTTGTTCCTACCAAATCGTAAAGTCCCTTAATTTTCTGCTATGAAAACATTGTTAGAAAGTGCATCATTGTGTAACACGATAATAAATAAGCTGGTACACGCTTTTGATACTGGAGACATGTACTACCGGGTATACTTGCAAAAATTGTATAAATATAAAAAATTCCAAATACAATTATAAGTTTGTGACCATACAATGTATACTAAATTTCAAATTTAGAAGTCATTTAATAAATCTAATTTTTATTGATACTAGATTAGTCTATTATTCACTTTCAATTACTGACCATACGCTACAATTATATTCAGAAACAATTTACCTGTGATTTGCATATTTAATTAGATTGCATATAGTATGCATGTAGCAATACATGTCCATAACAACTAAATTTGTGGTACGACAAACTTGCAGCCATCTTCTTTTATCTTGGGCATGAATAACATTTTCTCTAATTACAACAGGGACTGTGTCATTAACAATGCTTTATTTTTTATAAGTCAAAATGGCTGAAAAGCATTGTTTTTCTTTACACAGGTGATAATTTCTGGTAACATTCAACAAAATGATGTCGTCAAAGAAAGATTTTATGTTATTAAAATAAAAGGTGAAAATGGTGAGAAAGAGGAAGTTCTGACACCAAGAGTTGAAGATTTTGTCTTACACCATTACAAGCAGTCTGACTACAATGAAGGTATGAGTGATACACTTACTACCGTAAAATCTGTATTAGAAGCCACAGCTTCTATTAAAATGGTACAATGCAACAGAAGGGATGCGGCTTCAATTAGAGCATCTACACATATGAGAAATGATGAATTTTTGATTCTCAATTATTCAAAAAGAATGGGTGTGACTTGTATTAGGGATGCGGCTTCAATTAGAGCATCTACACATATGAGAAATGATGAATTTTTGATTCTCAATTATTCAAAAAGGATGGGTGTGACTTTTATTAGGGATGCGGCTTCTAATACAGATTTTACGATACTGTAAACCACTTTTATTTTGCAAAAGACCAATTTTCATGAGTTTCAAAGTCATTGAAAATCATGCAATTTTGTACAATCAAAATTTCTTTTGCCACAGAATCCAGGTTTTTTCCGAAATTTTGATTTTCACGAATGCCATAAATCATTAAATTGCAAAAAATTTCGAACAGCGAAAATAAAACATTTTTAATATTTGTTCATATCCTATCTGTATGCATGAGTTTTTTTTGTGCCAGATGATAGTTCCTTGTATTGATTGTCACTAAAGTTTGTAGCAATTTAGTAGAAGAAATATGTTTCGCACACTTAGCCAGCAATATCGTCCGCTAATTGGCTCACATAATACAGCTGTGTTGCATGAGGTGTTGATTTCTCAATTTTAGTTGATTGTTGTCAGATTTTAAGGCAACTGTGCATGCTGGCTTGGTGTATGATACATATTTGTGGCCACAGTCAATGTAACTGATGATGTGCATGTAAGTGTGTTATAGATACAGATATCATATATTTTAGAATCAATATATCAGGACTGTGTGACTGACATCGTTTTATTATGACAGTCGCAATTATTTGTAAGTAAGGTTTCCCCAAATTTGTAGTTAGTGAATCTTTCTCTGCCAATATCTTCCGCATTGATGTTTAGAAATAAAATAATCAAATCTGTAACAAAATTCTGGGTTGAAAATCGTAGAAACAGTAACCAGTAATTTTAAATGTTTCACCTCCTCCTGCAGTACAATTTAAATCATATACTGTTAAATACTTTATTTTAGCTAGAATTAATTTTCGCTGAAAAGACTTTATTGATGTTTTGTATAGAATTTTTCTTCTACTGATTTTTGGGTTGAATGTACAATATAGTAAAAAATGTATATTCGCTGGATTTTATTTTCACTGAATCATTCCTTCAACAAAAATATTGAACAAGAGAAAATATTCTACAGTATTCAACCTAATAACAAGACCTGTCTATCTTTTTCTCTTTTCTCCAATCAGTGTTACCAGTGAATTGTTTATTTGATTCTGTACAATTTTGAAATGTCAACTCTGATTGGTTAATATTGTTTGTTGTCCAGGTGTACATGGTGAGGGGTCTACATTTACAACTCTGATTGGTCTGTTAACATGGGATATTGTGTTCACTGATAGTGTTCCAGATGTCTTTAGATACCAGTTTCAGGTAAGAGGTTGTATATCACCAGATATATTTATATTTCAGTTTCAGGAGTTTTTAAAACGGGTGTGTACTAAAACTTTGTATCAATTACTTTCTACCAGATTGCACCTTCCTATGTATCTACTTTTAAAAAGAAAATGTGGCAAGTTGAGATCAGTATGCCATACATATATGCTGGATATTTTGTTTACCCCTTTGAACACCATAATTTTCTCACCAACATTTAGTGCAACATTTTGCTTATTTTATGATTTTTGATGTACATTTTTTGGCTAATTTGGATTGAATGGACAAAAATTTCCTTTGGCATTTGTGTTTTGATTAAAATTGTTGACAAAACATTGAAAAAAAATTGCATTGGTCAAGATAAGTGTCAGATTTGTGAAACCAAGTAACCGTGCTTATAATATTGGTATAATTATTGTATGTTGTTCTTTAAATGCTGCCATATCACATTTCTTTTAGCAGCTAAGTGGTCCATTTGACCTATTCCACCTTGATAAAAAATAAAATGAATTGAAATGAAAATACCATTTTAATAATCTGTTTTTTCCGACAGTCCGGACCATTAGATTTCCGGAGAGATGATTTCTATCTGAATAGAAAAGACATGATTGATACCAGATTAGATCTGATAAAGTCATCTGATATTGATACGATTCATGGTATGATAGACGAAACATGGAATGCACACGAAGGTGAACAATGTAGTTTGATTGACTGGACACTGTTCTCAAACGTAGATCATGTAAAGGTAAGTGATTGTTGTATTGAGGTTTAGGCCAAATTTACTAGATAGGGGCATGATTGTAAATAGCTAAATGTACATATTCCATTAATATGAATACTACTGTATATTCTAGGTTAATATTGCATACCCCTAATCACTTTGTGTGTGATCTTGTTATTTTAATTAAGTAACAAAGTGATGAATCAGATGCCAAGATCATGCCTGTTGGCAGTCACTTGGCTATGTACTTGATTCTTCGGCATATCGTATTTGCTATCAGAATTGCACAGGTTTTCGAAAGTGGCTAAAAATTCATCAAAATCAAATATTTCTGACATTGTAGAACTGGAACTTAGTTGTGTATAAAACATATCTTATTTAAATTAGGATGTACATTGAACATGATGGCCTTAATGCATGTAATTTTTTTTCCAAGATCAATTTCAAAATGACTGCTTTGGTTTTAGTAAATGCTGTTCCAGCATCTGTGACATGCCTTTACCAATCACATTCTGCAAAAATAAACTGGTTCCAGTTTGTATCATGTCTGTCATATTAGTGTCAGTTATAATAGATGATGAAGACATTTCTTACATCTGTTGACATACCACTATACTATCATCATATTAACCATTCCAACTTCAATTGAATCTGTTATTGCTTTTTTCGGCAATTGCATGAAAATATTCTCTTTCACACATAAATCCACACTTTTCAACAGAATGTCTGGTATCACTTTGAAAAAAATTTGAAAAAGTATCAACGACTAGTTTTTTTTTTTTTGGCTCACATGCTTTAGATGCTATTGGATTGTAATAAAGCAAATGCAACACTAGCACAGTGAACGGAAAGTTCTCGTGGTTTTAATTTATGCTGTGGCTTGGTTCTTATTTCACCACTGTAGTGCTTTCACTGGCCCATTTTTGAGAAGCAGTTCAATCAGAAATATTTTTTTTTTTTCGCAATTCCTAATATAATACAACTGTGTACATTGTGCTTATAGGGTTTAGCTGCCTGCATGGGTGGTGATATTATCAGCTCTATTGGGAAACGCATACTACGAGATCATCGTCATTGCCGGGGAGGTGTACCAGACTTAGTGGTTTGGAATACAGAAAATAAGACATTCAGGGTAAGACAATTTCAATGTTGTGACTGTAAACGATTGTAATATTTTACCGTATATGGCAAGGATTCAATAATTATTATTCATGACATGATGTAATGTAAACCATTCAAACAATTGATTTAATAATTAAAAGTAATTTGAGAGCATTGGTTTCAAATTTTTTGATAGGCATATGTACTTTTACCAAAGAACCACAGAGAATTGTTCACTAATACGGTACAAAACTTTTTACAGATGAAAATCCTTAAAAATTAAACACTCAGGAAATATGACTTAGTTATATTGTTGCATAATACTTATTAATAAACATCTATCCTTTCCAGTAAATAACAATTAATGTTTTTCTTCAACATGCACACCACCAAAATAGTGCAGGCTTTTTTTTTTTTCATTATTTCACCACTGCACAGCGCCCTCTGTTGACAAATCATAATTTGTTTCTAGTTACGTGTTGTAGTAGATTATGATATTGTGCATTACATCACGTTCTCATTGGTTATTTGCTACCATGTGCACACAACATACAAAAAAGATTAAGTGTAAATCCAATATCCAATGTTTGACCACATTTGTAAGGATAGTTTAAACAATAAACCCATTATGATTCCAGAAATCCTAATCGCTTTCTTTGGTTATTTTTGCATGCCATTTGCTTGTTGGCTCCCGTGTCGCTAACCTTATGATAACCACGGATAACCTTTTTCTCAAGTGTATGAAGCACTGCATGTATATTTTTTTGTGTAATTTTTAGACGTTTCAGGGTCTTATAATTGAACTAAAGGATGCCGCACAGCCCATTATTACGTGATAACAGTGCTTGGATGGAGATGTATACTTGAATAATGGGCTTAATTGCGTCTCATTTATTATAGCTCACATCCCATCTTTGGCGTGTAAGTCAAACAATAATGAATCTCCCACAGCACCATATTGAATGAAGCGGAACACATTATCGCATCTAAACCCTACTTTGAATCCAATATGGTGCGGTAAGAGATTCACTATTGTAGTTATAAATCAACACGATCAGAATTAAACAAATTTAGTTAAATTTGGGGGCTTTTTGTTACATTTTTTTACATTATTGGTGATAGTGTAAAGCTATGATATCATAAACACCTCGAATTCTGATAGATTTAACACAAGCAATAATGAGCAGCAATGTACATTTCAGGAGAGAAAAAAAAAATGCAATCTCAATGTCTATCTTGGGCCTAGGATATTGGAATGTTTATATATTGTTTATTACAGGTTGTTGAAGTAAAGGGTCCCAATGATCGCCTTGCTCCCAAACAATTACTGTGGATAGATTATTTGAATTCTGTTGGTGCGACTGCAGAGGTTTGTTACGTCACAGGTAAGCAGCAAGTTATGCAAATGTCACAGATTGCTCCCTACATTGGCCAACGTCATGTTTAGATACCGTAGAATACTTAAAATAACAGATTTGTTTTAATTATTTATTTCAGCTATTGGAGGAAAGAGAAAACGTGCAACCATTGACTGACATGTAAGAATACTGGAATCATGTGAAAAATAATTTGTAAATAAATAGTTTCATAAGGAATGTATTGTATTTATTTTTGTAGACAATAACGAATCTACATGCTTCAATGAAGTGTTGAATATTTCTTGCATTGACATCTGTCAGATCACTGAATCGGCTATAAGAAATTTGCAAATTAACAATGTAGCAAACGAACTTCACCACTATTTATCTAGTGTGTGCACACAAGTCTTCATTATGGAACATACTTTGTCTGACGCTTTTGATGTGGTACCTTGTTCCATAATGCAACAATTGGGCCATTTGAAAGACGCACAGGCCAGGAGCATTTTGTCAATAGCCCAACATTAACAGGTTCTCCAGATATATAAATTAGCCACCTAGTTCTGACACGCATAGCTCAGGAACACCTTAATTACTGGTTTTAGTCCACAGTTCCATTTACTATGTACTAGTATATTAAGACTTTAAACAAGTCTAGCAAAAAAGCTATCAAGGAACTTTAATAACTACAAGATGTTCAGACCAGACAGCAAAATTGGGTTTCTGCATCTAATGGTTATCATAAAAACAAAGGCAAGTTGCTAACTTTAGTAGAGGGCACATATCCACAAGATGTCACTGCAGGAGTAGTGTTTTCTTGGCTATACCAAGACGAAGATGTCTAGAGCATAGCCAAAATATTAACTGGACAAACCCTCAACCCAGGTTTGTGGTACATTTCTTCTTTTTTGGCAGTTATAGTGAAAAATTCCTGCTGCAAGCTAGTAAACACAATAGTTCTATAGACTGTTCAACATTTTGATCATATTCACTGGGTTTTATGTTCACAAATTTCCAGATGAAACTACTTCTGTTTACATGAAAATGAATTTACAGCGGGCAACAGCAATGCTCTTACCTTTGAATAATAAATGCCTGAATATTCATCAAACGCATTAGCCAGATAGGAGAATTTTTTTTTTTCATTGCCAATCTGAGAATCTTGTAATGGCAAGTGCATGTACTCTTATTAAAGAATAGAATTCAAATAATAGTATAATACAAACATTTATGTAATGTTTACTGGCACACCAGAGACGGGAAATTTTCTAGTTAGGCTATTAAAAAAAATTTGAAAATACAACTTTAAATATTATTGGATAAAATTGAACCTCATTCTCCTACGATGACTGATACAAAGATAATGAAACAAAAAATGAAACAATTTTAAAAATTAAACATCTGTTTTTACAGTTGTCTGGTATACAATTTTGAGAATTTTCACCGATTTACATACAGCCTATCCTATCATCCCGACTGAGTTAATCACTAGTTCTTACACCAGCAGACAAGTACATAGAGGGTCCAGTAAAGTAGACCTGGTGGCTACACAAGAATTTTTTACTAAAGACTTTTCAATGAAACTTTTTTTTGCTAAAAAAAAATTAAAATTTCATTAGTTTCTTTGATCAACTCTATTTTTTTAACCTCTAAATTTAGACAAAACCTTGATGTTGTAACTGATAATTTTTAAAGCACATTATCAGAAATCACATGCAAAGCATGTACTGTTATTATACCTATTCAAATGATTCGATTCAATGTCATTAAAATCTAAATTTGGGATGTATGGATGTTAGTTTATATTTTCCATATAGAAAACGGGCAGTAAAGGTTAATTCTACAAAATGTTGATTTCTTATTTGCTCCATTTAGTAGCACATGGGCTCGGGAATATTACAGGAATTTCCAAGGTCGAAAAATGTTACATTTCAATGATTCAGCATATATCAAATACAATTTTTGGTTTATATGTTATTTTATTGAAATGTGCTTCTAATAGAGTAAATATGGTATATTGATACATTGACCTAACAATACTGTAAATATAGTATTGAATAATGTACATTTTATTTATTCAACATAGGTTTGTCACCAAAGATTGTACAACCCTCATTCTTTGCATATAACCTGTCTTTATGGTTAAAAACGTTTTTGGCCCTAAATAAAAAATTCCGTTATCTATTTTGGCAATAAACAAATGACAGAAACCTTATCAGTAATTCTCCCATCATTCACAGGAAATGTAACAAGTTTTTTTTTTTTTAATTGTATCAATAAATAACTAAAATCTGAGCTGATTTGAGCTACATAACATTGAAGCCAGAAATATGAAAATAACCCCCCCCCCCCCAAAAAAAAAATTCTTAAATTTCTTCCACCAAGAAATGAGAGCATAAATTAGGGGTGCTCTTGCAATTTCTCAGAGTGGGGGGGGGGGATTAAGCAAGATCAGATGTTCTTAATAATGGATAAATTGATTTGTCAATGCAACCTTGTATTTTTTTTATACATCACTGTGTACAGTGTTGGAGTGAATGGACAAATGCAATAATTTGTTCAAATTTGAAGAAATTCACCAAAAGATATTTTATTTTCAGAATTGGTGCAATACAGTGACCACAAGGAAAATGTTCCTGTAGTGTTAAAAGTATAGAGTGAAATAAGCTGCCTTGTTTTATTTTTAATAAAGCTGCACTTGATACAGTAATAATAATCACAAGTTCACACAATTGCAACCAAAATTTAGTTTATGCTGCTTTGAAAACATTGTTCCTCGAATAATTATAATAAGAGAAAATTATCACTGCAGTAATCAATGATGGGCTAATTTGTTTGTAAAGTAGGGTGGGCAGAATTCTTTGCCTTTACATGGTCACTGAAACCTAATTCTCACTAGGACATGTTCGATTCCAACACTACAGGCGTTTAAATATTGAACCACCATAAATAAATTACGAATATCTATTTATAAACATCTTAATATCTAGAGACAAGGGATTTGTGAACTGTATAGCGTCTCCCAAGTCTCGAGTCAAAATTCCAAATCTTAACAGCGACTCCAGTTGTGCAGAAATTCACCAAATAAGGCATTTACTGCTTCCAGTTTACAGTCTGTATTGTTCTTGATGGTATCATATCCAATAGATATTCTCGTTGTCTGTCGTTAGCTTGGGCAGTGGTAGTTATTACTTGAGACTTGGGCAATATCTGATGGGATCAAAGTAAATACATCATCAATATATTACTATATGAACTCATACTTTGCATTATTTTGAATTACAATCATCTAGTAGATACGGACAAAAAACTTGCTCAGCTGTGCTTGGACCAGTCAGATGCCTAATTTTTCTTCAAATGTATGTTAAAATTTAAAATGCTTCCATATGTAGTTAACCCAAATCATACCAAATCTTTAAATATGGAGCTGGTACTCATAACTTAATGTCTATGTCAGGAGCTATAGTTTGAAAAATCCTGTCTAGTATATTTTACAGCAATAAATTCCCAGAACAAGAATTTATTTGTTCAGACTGTCCAAGTACAATAACAGGGGAATTAACACGCTGCAAGTATTAGGTAAGTGAAATAAGAACCATTAAGGCCTGAATTTTGCCCAGAAAGCATTGAATATAACATACCTGTGGGATATACGCATATGTTATACCAGGCTGGAGATGAGCCTGAGGTATATGTGTATACACCTGCCTCGCCTGCTGACGTTGCTGCATTTGCTGCTGATGAGCCTGTACTAACTGCTGATGTTGTCTCATCTGCTCTTGCTGCACTTTTTGTAGGTGTTCTCGATGTGTGGTGTGAGTAGAATTGTTGGTTGAAGCAGTAGACTGGCTCATCCTCTGCTCAATCTCCTGTTCCTGTTGTAGAGCTTTGACAAAGGCAGTTTTGAGACGGTTAGTGTGTTCTGCTTTCAGTGCCTTCTTCTGGTTTGTTACCACGCAATTCTCACAAACGACACCAGTGGTTCTCTTTGTGTCTCTCTTCCAGACTGTACTAAAGTCAGTCTTACATTGAGTGCAGATAAATGGTTCTATGAACTCTTTTACCTTATTGGGATCTTCCATTAATCTATTTACAATCTCTTCTAAGCCGACTAAGTAGATGAATTCATTGTTTGCAGCACTTGGCAGGAAGTGTAGTTCTGGTGGTGGTGGCTTTGGTGGTGGAATCTGTAACAATGTTTTTTCTAGTTGTTTTCTCAATGCCAACTTAGCCGCAGCCTGACGACTTGCAGGCGACTCATTCGACATAGAAGACATAGGTGTGGAGACTTTGATCTGCTGCGACTGCACCATTTGTTGCATTGAAGTGTACGTGGTGGGAGTAGTAGCATATGTCACCAGATTAGAGCTATTCCCCACTCTCACAATGGGTGGTCTTACCAACTGAGGCTGCTGAATGTGTAATCCACTGCGAGGCCCTAGCATGAGTGGTGGGGGACCCTGTGCTCCTCCTTGTGTTCTTAAAGTCTGTAGCTGATTTCCTCTCACAAGCTGTGGCATTATTACCTGTTGTTGCTGCTTTGGTACCTGACCACCGCGTACTAGTGGTGGAGGTGCAGCAGTAGGGTTACGAGGAATTGGCAGTTTACCCGCAACACCGCTTTGTGCAGTTGACTGATCCTTCACTACAGCTGGCTGTAATTGACTCTGACGCAATCTTTTCAAAAGTAGTAATTTTGCTTCTTCGTTCCTGAGTTCTTCTTGTAATCGTCTAATAAGTTTATCACGTTCGCTGTTCTGTTCAGGGGTAAGTGTTTTAATTCCATTTTTGGGAGGTCTAGGTGATGATGCATCTGAACTATCATCTTCGATACCATTCATCATTGGGCCAGACGAGTCATCTGACAACACTATAATATCCTCTGGTGATGACGAGTTTTTTCTTTCTTCTCTCAATCTGTAACAATACAAAATAAAACAAATCAGAATTGTTTTTCCACACACTACTAATTTCTCACTGAATTTCCAATTCAAAGACAAAGACGGTTAACTAACAAATTTCTGAAATTAGTATTTATACAACACAAAAAAAACAACAAAAATTGCTTTTGAAAATGGGTCGCAATTACATGTATGAAACCTTTCATACTGATTTGCAGGCACCCACTTTAAAGATAATAATAAACAGCGCCCTCTAGTGTTGACATAGATTCTTATAATACCTAACAATAGTAATTAGGTAACAGCTATCTACATGCATTTAGACATTTCTGATGAAGGACAAATTTTCAAAACAAATGTTTGCTCATTTTGAGTAACAACTAAGGACCAACATTACCAACTACCACTTTCTAAAAATTATTTTTATCTTGACATTAAACCAGCATTCCCACTAATTCAAGAGCATAATTATTTTCACAAGTGCATTGCTGCAAGTCAATCATTTTGCTAAATTAAAATTCAGGTGTTTCTCAGTGATTTGCTGAATGATACATGCAAACGAAGATGCTATTGGGAATTAATATATGTTCACTGGACATAGTACAAAATATTTATCACAATATTAATTTTGTTATTCACAGAATTGATAGAGTAGTGTAACTTCCCAATTTTCCAAACTGAATTTTATTATGTTCTTGGCAATTTAATTTGAAAACAGAAGAGACAAGAAAATTATGAAAATAAATTTAGTTGGCAGGTGATTATGTGTGGAAAACTGCTATCAACAAATTAACATTATTGACTGCAGTGTTGTTGAAGAGCAGCAGTGACCACTAGTAAAATAAACAAGCAGCCTATCGGCTGAGATAGCTCCGCTGTTAGTAATGCACATTTCAATTAAAGAACTGAAGACATCATTAGAAAATGCACAATATGAATAGTATCAAAGCAATCGGACTTGTGGTTTTC